TTAGTTATTAAAATTAAAATCAAACTTTATTCTTTTTATATAATTTAATAACAAAAATATACATTAATTATTTTTTAACTTATTAAAAATTTTTATAATCCTAATAATTTGTTATGTAAAGATAACCGTGCCCCTAAATGCTTAAGTGCATTAAATTACTTCCAGTTAAGTAGTCAAAGCAGCATTTACTGTAGTCTCCTTTGTTTCATAGAAATGACCCACGAGATTCCATGAAGGATGCCTTGGATAAACGAAATGCATAAAAAAAAAAAATGAAATGCATAAGACAGGACAGACCATAATGTACAGTACTGGTAATTAAATAGGGTTTTCCTTTTCCCTCGCTACTTTAAATAAACTTATTAAATCTGGAAAATTAATTAACACTCTTTTTTGGCTTAAATTAAATGGACTGTACCAATTTTCGATGTTCAAGAACAAATGACGTATGTAAGATAATGTAAATGTGATCTAATACAATTGAGACAACAATGCTAGATTGGAATTTATTTGAGATCTAATTAAACTTAAGATAGTGTAAGTACTAAATTACTGAGATTTGTAACATGTCAATTTGTCACAATGTCGGCAGCAAGTTGGGTTTTGGATCTTGTGTCATCATCTAATTTTATGTGTGGGTGAGGAAAAACCATTTTTTTTATTTTAATGAATTGAGTTTAAATTATAGAAGTATAAGAGGAAAGAGGTACTTTAACTTTTATGTACAAATCAAAATACTAATTACAACAATTTAAAAAAGAGTCACTTAAGGGACATTTTAATGATTATGAATTTAATTTTTTATGTAAAAAATTTTAAATTTTAATTTTAAAATAGATAGAAACAACTTTGAGAAAAACATGGACTAAGGGGGCCATGGTCCTAAGACTTTTGAAAAGAATTAATATATATATGTAAGATATATTTTATTCTTAGAAATTCTCATATTTCTTTTATTGTAAAAGAAATAGTTATTGTTTTCTTTATAGCATTAGAATTTATTTATATTTAGATTGCCATTTAGTAGAAAGTTGATAGCACATAATTGAGAAAGTTTGTATTTTTTTTAACAGTAAAGCTTGAATTTTTTAGATCATGGGATAATAAGTTATGATAGAATATAATATTTTTTTACGCACACTAATTATTCGAGTAATTACCTTAGTGGAATAGACTTTCTCTGTTTCACATTATTTTGTGTATTATGTTTTGAGTTTTTTTAGTAGGGGTATTTAATTAGATTGATGTCTTCAATTGTTACTATTTTTATTCTATAACTTGTAGTATATTTGTTTGTGATAAATATATATATATATATATTTTTTTTATGCCGACCCCTCAAAAATCTTGGTCAAGCTCTGTCCTCCTGGCCTATGTCCTTCCTTTGCCACTTTATAATTTCTGTGATTATAAGAAGACATTTATTCAGATCATATACATATACCTTGTTATTTTGTAAACAAGGCTAATCTTTTTTAGCATTAGGGTATTTGTATATGAATAAAGCAATGCAATGCAAATCATCGGCATATCTTGTTCCATAGTATTAGGACATATAGAGGGTCTGCAATTATAAATTATTTAGCATTAGGATATTTGTATATGAATAAAGCACTGCAATGCAAACCAAGGCCATATTTTATTCTATAGTATTAGGTCCAAGGTTCAACTCTTAATTAAGTACAAAAAATAATAATAATTTTTTAATACATGAGGTTGATGTAAGAGATTAGTGTCAAGATTGGTCAATAAAAATATTAATTTTAAAGTGTATAAAAATTAATACACCATGAGAAATACCTTGACCGTCAATTAAATTTTTTTTTTTTTTTTTTTTTTAAAATGGCATTTTTTTTAAGGCAGAGGCTGCATATGGGACACTCTTCGCTAGCTGGGAATTTATTGTCACCCCTCCTTTGGAGATCCATGCTAGGTAGCTTTATGTCCACCGCCCATTTTAGTTGATTAGTTGTGTGTACTCTGTCGTTACCCCGAAAATGCAACCTTATGTTTGGGAGACAGGTGGACCTTTATAATTAACTACGAATTAACTAACAAAATTTTGCCGCACTAGTAGTTTTTGACAGGTTGATAATATGCATTGAATACTTTGACCCATGCCAAGATTCAAATCTTTTAGACAGTACAATATTTCCTTCTTCTTTCAAAATCCACCTCATTTATAAACCAAAAAAACTAACAAAATTTTGCCTCCTATTTTGCACGTGTAAAACAAATTAACAGTACTAAGAGGTGATGTGATAGGTGTTTTTTTTTAATTAGTTGTATGGTAAGTGTTGCCCCTAAAATTTCTTTTTTTGTTACACGACAGATAAAATTGTGAAAATGTGTCACTCACTTTATTTAAAGTGAGAAAAAAGATTTCCAACAACTCTTACTATTTTTAAACATGAAACTTGGCTGCAAGTTGATGAAAGAACATTGGTTAAATAAATTATGAGATACGTTTTTATCAAATAAGAGTTGCAAAAACGAGGGTGTATTCTTGCATAAAGATCCATAAACAATTGCCCTAGAAGAATATCATGGACTTTTCATAACTACGACCAATATGTTAGTTTGCTAATCAAAATAAAAGAGAAAAATAAAGGAAAAAATAAGAAAGAGAGTACATGGCAAGAAAACTTATTTGCAGAGATAAATCATGATGCCGCCACGAAAGTATGAAAACGTAAAAAAATGAAATGAAAACTGAAGCATAAAACTAAATTTAAAAGAAGATAGGAAGACGAATTTAGGGTAAAATGCAGTAAATTGAATTGTAGGAAATCGAATATATTAGTGGAGATGTTCAAAAAAAAAAAAAAACAAAACTAGAGTTAAAGCTAGTGCTAGCGTAGAGCTTATGAATAAACTAGGAAAACTATTTGAGAAAATTAGATTTAAACTAAAACATTGCTTGTAAAAACTAAAATGTAAATAACACTAAGCTTGTTGTGTGAGAGGTAGGTCTTGCTTGCTTGATTTTATTGTTGAGTATTTATAGCACCTTGATAACATGGTGGAGTTCTACTGGCAGTATTTTGAAAACCAACGGCAATATGAAATCTACAACAACCTCCTGAACAAACAGCAGTAAGGTATAGAGTTACAACAAAATCCTGAATATTAGCAACAACATGCTGAAAATTTGCAACAAACCAATTAGTCTACTGACTTTGTGGTAATAACCACCTAAGTTGATATGGAGATAAAACTGCAATTGCTAACTCTTGACTCCTTCAAATTCAAGATAAATGAGACATATGGCTCTTTCTAATTAATTTGCAAAAATGGGTGTAAACAGTAAAAAATAATTTT